ATGTAAATAATACACTTAGTAACAAAGTGGGCTGATAATTTTGGTTAAATCATCTACGTTATAAAATTACCTACATTATTGTGCGATCGAATAGCCTGATGATGCTAATATATACACTTAGTTTTTTGGTCTCATGCAGTTTTTATATTGTATTTACAGCTGGATGGATTTATTGCACGAAACTGGGCTAATCAGAAATCAGCTTTGGGAAGTGCCCTTGACCCTTTGGCTGATAAAATTCTTATCAGTGTCCTGTATGTCAGCTTGACTTGTGCAAATCTTATTCCAGGTAAAATCATGGTATATTCATGGGCAAGAGTTATTTGTTTTTGTTTTAGAAGAGTGAACTGTAGAAGAGAGAGTGCAGGATGGTCACTCCTCTAAGACCATTCTAATGATGTTCAGGGGGAAAACATGGTTATGTCCAAAACATTTGTCAGTTGTTAGGGACCTACCTAAGTCAGGGTGAGACAATGGGTTTTTGGCAGGCCGCTTGCAGCGCACAGATCTGATTTTTGCAGAAGCCCCGCCCCGGCCACTGATTGGCAAAAGGGCTTTGATGGCCTGCTCCTCGCCACTGATTGGTGGAGAGTACATTTGCTCAGTCTACGTCACTACCACTTTTTTGGGTTGATTTTTGCGGGAAATTGTGGCCAGTGCTGGATTTCTCAGCAACTTTGGACAATGCTGTTTTTCGTGGTTCCTGCAAAACTGCAATTTAGGTGGGTCCTTATCAATTGTGTTTTACTATTAAAGTCTCAGAAAGATAAAGAATTTCTATTTAAATATTACATCATAAAAGTCTTCTAACTATAGACAGATTTGACTGCTTTGATGATGAGCCTCTTAAATGCTGTCATCGCCAGGTTCGGCTCGAGTAGTAATTTGCTCTTTCTTAACGGAGCATTTTTCTTTCTTTTCTTGTTCTTAGAACTCACATTTACAGAAGCCTGTCATTTTATGTCCAGGTTCTACAAAGAAGGATATTTTTCACCTAATCCCTCTTCCAAGCTTAATTCTCCTATCTAAAATGAGGAGAACAAGGCAACTTGGCCACTTGGTTCCTTAGGAGCCCTTGCTTCCTGACAGAGACCAAAAATAAATGATGTCCTACTGCCAAACTCATCTCTGTCCCCTGACAGCAGTGAAACTTTTTCTACTCTCCCATCTCTGTATTAGACCAGGGGTTTTCAACCTTTTTGGGTCAGTGTACATCCAGCAGCCAGTGAAGAAGGAAGGAGCTCCCTGGCAGCCAGTCGACGAGCGGGAGGGGGCAGGTCCCCTGCAGCCAACTGGCGAGCATGCCAGTGGCATGGTGGCAGCAGAAATGGCTCCCACTGCTGAGTACCCCCTGAGGCCATCCCAAGTATTCCCGGTTGAAAACCCCTGTGTTAGACTTTGGAGGAAAGGCACGTTTGTTGTAGGACGTGCTGCAGAATCATGTGACCCACTAGTGACAACACTGAATAGCAAGTCGGAGATTTAAATTTCCAACGTTTGCATCATTTTTCCTTTAGAAAGAAAACCAATGGTTCTTACATTTTCTGTTTGTGGTAATGGGAATTACACATGTGGATATGCAGTAGTACAAGTGTTTTCTACCTTTCTGTATATAGCTAGATATTTACTGATATAGTTTCTATTCAGAAAAAAGCTTTATTAACTATATTTGTGTTTGTTTTCTAGTTCCACTTACTTCTCTCATCATCTTGAGGGATATAGTGCTCATTGCTGCTGTTTTTTATGTACGATTCAAAACTCTTTCTCCACCAGTAAGTGTGTGTGTTTTAAAATGGATGTGCAATCAAATTGCTTCGGATTTTAAAGCTGTTTCCTGGGTTGCTTTGTTATGTTGTATATGTACAACAGTGGGAAGCAGCAGTCACCTGAAGGAAAATCTTGGCCAAAGCTTTGTTATGAAATGCAACAATGATTCAAAACTTAGAAAATAGTTATGACTTGCTGGGCACGAGAACAAGAACATTATTTTGTATGAGAATCTTTGAGATGTAGTCATATTAAAGAGGACACTTCCACAGAAGAAGATCCAGCAGTTATTGGGGTGAAGAAAGCTAGTTTTAAACACAGTAGTCTTTCAGTAACCTTTTTGCTACCTGCATTGTGTCACTTGTATGTTGAGTTTCTTTGAAGTTTATCATTGAGAGTTTTTTGAATATTCTTTTTTTTCCCAAATATGATTTTTGCTGTAGCAGAACAGTGCAGTACAGTCCTTTCTCCAATTTAGTATCTGATTTTCTGTAGTGTGTTCTTGCTGACTAATTCTTTCAAGCGTACGCTAAAAAGTGTTTGTTCATTCTTTCTTTCTCCTCACAGAGAACACTTAGTAGGTATTTCAACCCTTGCTATGCCACTGCTCAGTTAAAACCGACATTCATCAGCAAGGTAAGGATGAGAATTCCTTATAAATTACTTCTTCCTGTGTGTCTTAAATTCTTCACTGTTATGAAGCCCCTTCAGTTTGCTGAATGCTGTACTCTGCAGTGCTTACAATTTCTGATGCTGTGCTTGATCTTGTAAAGTTCTCAGCATTCTGACCATGATCCAGCAAAGCACTTCTTTTATGTTAAAGATGTAGTTAGCGGTATTGACAAAGCAGAAATGTAAATAGTAAAACTCAGAGCTGGTATCTCTTTTGATCCCAACCCCACTGCCCTCCCTCCCAGATTGGCTAATATTTGTACAAGTGTAGATGGCATATATTATACCTTTATGGTCACAATTCTAATCTGTTTTTTACCAGATGAACACAGCAGTTCAGCTAATCTTGGTGGCAGCTTCTTTAGCAGCTCCTGTATTCAATTATGTGGACAGCGTATATCTGCACATACTATGGTAAATTACATTTTCATTGAATTGTTTTACTGATACTTTTAAAGAAACTGGTAATTCTGATTTAAAAAACAAACAAACTAAATGCATGCAACCAAGGGGCATGTCTTGGTAAACCTAAATTAGATTATAGATTTGTGGTTGAATTTTTTCAGGTGATCCCTTTTTGGTGACAATAGAACCAAACTATGTGCCGGTGCTTACTTTGTTGTAAAAGTAAAAACTAAACAATTTTACCCTGGTGTTCTCACTAGTTTAAGCCAAAAAATGGGTTGGAGCAATCTAATGGATTGCATGTTGATAACTTGGTAGCTTTGGGAGGGAGGGGGGAGAGAGAAATCATAAAATGCTTCTTTAAAGGGCATACATATGTCTTTAAATCACTATGGCTCTTTAGAAGTGTTAACGGATTAATGACTAGAAAAGAACTGGTAGATACAGCTTTTTAAAATGATCTCTTACATAGCCGTCATGCAGTTTTTGAGTACTCAAAAAAATTAGATGGTATATGATAAGAGAGGACTTTTGTGAGTGATATCTTTTATTGGACCAACTGTATAGTTGGAATAGACTTACACAAGCTTTTGAATCCAGTGTATTCTTCTTCAGGTCTCTCTCACATTTCTTTGACCATCATGGCTACAACTCTGCTCCAACACTACCAAATGGGGTAGTACCAATTTTGGGGTATTGTTTAATTAGCTTTCTACATTCTAAATTATATTAACATCTGAACTAGTAGCCCTCCATAATAACAGTTCTGAGCTTGAGTTTAGCTTTTAGATTTGTTTTAAACATTGACATGTTTGTTTAAAAAAAAAAAAAGACTTAGAAGTTAATGCAGTGTCCATATCTGAGGAATAGTGTCTCTGTATTATTTGATCCTCAGGCTTATGAAGGCTGTGTATGTTATGAACTTAAGATCTAGATTCTATCTTTGCTTTTTTGGCATGTGTGTAACTCAGGTAAGAATTAAACCTTGTATTTGAATTCCTCAATGAAGCAGGTTACTAATTGCTGAATGGCGAAGCTTATTCTTTTGAGGTTTAGGGGTGAATTTCAGTACCTTTTAAAAGATGAGCATGGGAAAAATTGTGTGTCATCAAAATGATGGGGAGAAGTTGAGAATTTCCTTATTCATGTTTCCTTCAAGCCATGGCCTCAATGTGTACTTAGTATAGTTAGTCACAAAATACGTTGTCTCTGATTGTAGCAGAAAATAGAGAAACCATTTAAAATGTATTTTAGGATTATAACTATATATCATCCATTTTCTCCCAAAGGTGTTTGACAGCTTTAACAACAACAGCATCTGGATATAGTTATTATCATTATGGCAGAAAAACTTTTAAGGTGATAAACAACAAATGAAGTACCACAGAAAGGGCCATCTCTTCACAACACGGTTTGCTATGCTGCTGAAGGATGTTGACTGCAGTGTAACTGGTCTGTGGATAAAGGATTTGTTTTTTCTTCTTAATGAGCAGCTGTCTAAATCAAAAGCATGTCATCAGAATCTGAAGTTAAAATGAAGTCTGATCATGTATTATATACTGATTTTTTTTTCTCACTGTATTTTTGAATTTGTTAAAAAATAAATGTAGCTGTTAAAAATGACGTAATATTCTTACAAGCTCTTGCAAGTAACTAGTTGCTGTCATGATCATTTTGAAGCTATCTCTTTCTATTGCTCTTCAGAAGCCAGAAGTTTGTATTCTTTATCCCAATTTTTTATGACATTTTAAGTGGTAGGCAGAGTACTGATCAGGTCGGTGACAACGCATAGGGGTGCACTGGGGTGCACATGCACCCCCTGATTGGCTGCACCTGCCGCTTAGGCGATGGGCAGGCGGGAGTGCCAGTGTCCCCCCTGCAAGCGCTGGCAGATGGCTGCACCCTCTCCCAGAAGCGGCCACAGCCACTCCTGGAAGTGGTTGCAGTGATTGGCTATGGGGGAGCTCTCTCCAGGCAGCGAGATCTGCCATTGGGGGGACTCCCCCCGCACAAAGCGGCACCAGTCGCCCATGGATGAGGTTGTGTGTGTTAGAGCTGAGTGGAAAAAGGATTTATAAACACAAGTGTCATACTGTGCTTAGCTCTACATTAGAAAGACCATATCACTTATTAGGATTTACAAAAATAAAAGTAGGAATAACTTCTTCTGAAACTTAAATCTGATAAATTCTGGTTCACTGTTCATTAGGATGGTGGTTCACCTAATACTTTAAAAATTATAACCTATCTTTCAGTTAAAGGAACAAGACAAAAGGGTTCCAGTTACATTATAGTTAAGTGCAGTGTACTGTCTGTAGGTAAAATAAGTTTGTATTCAGAGGCATATGATTGCAGCTGTTAATTGGTAGCATGAAACCTGGGTGATGAATTCCCTGTTTGTGGTGGTATTAGTTAAAACAAACAAACAAAAAACCAAAAAAAATGCTTGGATATTTTAAGAGCTTCTAAGAGCAGAAGTTTCAACATTGACAAAACTGAAAAAGTCAAGGCATTTTTAAATCATTGTCCAAATGTAATGATTGAATTGGAAACATCTAGAGCAGTGGTTTTCAACAGTGGTGTTGTGATACAGATGCTGCCACTGGCAGCCAGGTAAAACTGTTCTACACACAAGGCTGCAGCATGCGTGTTCCTCCTGCATTAGGGTCCTCTGATAACCCTGAAACAGGCAGGAGAGGCTGCTTGGACTCTTCCTGGTCTGCACCCTTGCATCACTACCCCCCACCCCCATGCACTTTTCCCCTGAAAACAGGTACATTCCATCTCTGTTTCTCAAAGATGAAGTGTAGGGTTGGACTGGGAAGTGCTTCAGTGTAAGCCAGCTTTTCTGCCTGTTTTAGGGTTGTTAGAAAACCCTAAAGCAGGAGGAATGCAGGCATGTTAGGCCAGTTTTACTTGGTGGCGTCAGCACCTGGTTGAGAACAAGTGAGGTAAGTTGAGCACAACAGTGGTTCTCAACCAGGGGTGCCACCATACTCAGAGGTTTTGGAGGGGTGATCTGCCTCTGAAAAGGTTGAGAACTACTGATCTAGAGCTTCATGTTCTGGCAGTAAGTCTCATGTACCTTGGAGTTCAGTAGGCATTACTGTTTCCATTTTTCCACCCAGGATAAAGTCAAAGCAAAACCATTTAAAGTTACAACATTTAAATTCTTGTCCCTTGCTATTCTATCTACAAAAAGTATAGGAGAAGGAACTGCATAGGATGGATCGAATCACCAGTTACAAAATCTACCTTTTTAATCTTTTGGAGCCCCATATGGCATGTTGCGTGTAGTAGCAAAATGTTGATTTGTGAAGGCTTAAATGATTGAATTGAAGAGGTATGTGTTAGATTATGCTGCTATATCACCAGAAGTGAATTTATTGTAAATATATTTTCATGTTTTGAGGGTTGTGATTCTACATGTTTATATATATGAAATATTTTATTACATTTTTATATTTAAATTTGTATAGACATGGTGCACAGACAAAGGATTTTTTAGTACCTACCAGTCTTGGCCATCTCCCTATGCTGCAGTCAGAGTCTGTCCTTTTGTCACAGGATAAACATAAAGCACATCCTCTAAATGCCTGTTTTTAAACTCTGAATGTTTAGTAAACTGGAGTATCTTGATTTTTAAGAACCTAGGTTTAGAATGGGGAGACTATGAAGTCCACCAGGTCATTCATCCCTTTTACTTTATCACCACAAATATTGTGAGATACACTTGTATGTGTAAAGATGGCAGGGAATGGCAAAGCATTGGACCACTGAAGGATAATGTTGGCATGCAGTGCCTCAGCGCTTATTTATAAATAAAAGTCACAGCGTTACATAACTTGATTTTGTATTCAGTTAATTATTCCCTTATCTGGTGTTGTGTGTTCAAGGCATTTGTTTTAAATAAGTTGTTTAAACAGTGCAGAACGGTTGGCTTTTTCTGGTCTGTTTTGTCAGTCACTCCAGCAGCACTTGCTAGTTCATTCTTGGAGATATCTGTGTTTTGATAGAAGCAGCTAAGAACAGATGTTAACAATTAGAAGAATTCATCATGGACTTGGTATTGTCAGAACCCATGTAGTAAATGCCTATGGCACAGTGGAAAATCCCAGCACAGTGAAAAGCCTGCCAAGCCCAACGACTACATTTGTTTAAACTTCACAAGCCCTTGTAATTGGCTAACTATGCGCGCCAAAATGCATGCCACCCATTGGCCGGTTACAAATTATTCCCACTTGGCAACTAGCAATTGGCCTGTTAACTATTCAAAAGTACGAGCAGCTTCCGCCCACGTTGGAGAACTCCGCACGCATCCTGGAGTAAACTTGGCGGACTGATCACCCACCGACTCCCCGTCACCGACCTCCCTGACGTACCCCCTCCCCTGCATGCTTGATAAGCCATTTACGGAACGTCTCGTCTCATCTCAAAGAGCTCTCGCTACGTTTGTAACTGCAATCAAAGTCAGCTTCTTCCTGCACTGCACGCATCGGCGGCGTAAGTAAACAATCTATTTTACCAATACGCATCTGTGCCTAATTCCACTCCACTCGCCGAAGTACCCACCTGATGTTCCGGGCTCCCGGCCATAGCCCGGCAAGCCAGTTGGACACCACAGGTATCAGCTGTTCATTATGAAGAAGTAAGCACACTAACTTGCATTTGTAAAGCAAACAGGTTCAAATGCATATACTTGTTAAGAAAACCATTATCCATTCATTCTGCAAGTGCTGAGTTTCTGAGCAATTACTGACCTCACATCAGCACTGACACTGGCTATATTTTCAAGGAAAGGAGGAAGGGAAAAAACAAGCCAAGGCAACGCTAAAATCTTAAATTCTCATGTTCTATCATTGTTAGGACTGAGGGGATGAGAATAGCACCGATGTGCAGAAAAAGCAAGGCAAATGATCTTATCCGTAGTGGTAGGGAAATCCTCTTAAACATTAAGAATAGTACAAAACTGTTGTTTTAACTTGCTTCCTTTTATAGCTTTCCTGTTCAATAAAAGGTGCTGTATTCCCTTTTGCTTGTATGTTTACTTTCGGGTGAAGGCTCCTGTTCTTTCAGTCCACCTCAGCAGCACTTTAATATGTAGAATACTCTTTCTCTATAGAATGCACCTGTTACAAGACCTCTACTGCTCCAGAAGCAGGCTTCTGCTCTGCACCAGAGGTGTCTGGCTCATCCATCAATGGGATAGTTAGGCTTTTTATCGGTTGCTTTATCATTATTTGTGCGCGGGCCGGGAGTGACCCGAGCCCTTTTCCGCGCTGCACGCGGGCTGTGGCCAGCAGCCCGGGCACGCCGGGTCGGAGAGGGAAGGCCATCGAGCTGGAATTAGGCACAGATGCGTATCGGTAGTTTTAAAGATTGTTTACTTACACTGAGATGGCAGTGGTACAGGCTAGAAAACTTGATTGAGTTGCAGTTACAGACAGACAACACAGACGGTCTCGTGGAGGTTGCTAGGCTCCACGGTGCAGAGCTCCGGATGCTCTGGGTGAACGAGCCACCAAAATAGAAATCGTAAATACGTCTTATAAAAGTCGCGCTCGAAGACGGGAAGAGGTGGGAGGTGGATCAGGCCGCCAAGCTCCTCTGGATCTCGCACAGGGTTTCTGTTACCCTGCCGTGTACCCAGAGTCCCCACGAGATGGATGTGGAGTCCTCTTCGGCTTGGTCGGAAACCGCTCAAGCCTCTTATACGGCTAACAAGCCAATCGTTAGCCGCCACGTGTGAATAATTTAACACTAGCCAATCACGGGGAACGAATTTGCATACCGGTGGTGGGAACTCTTTTGCACCGTGCATTCCTCTTGCAACATGAGCAATGCACTCTGCAAAAGAAGCTGCAGAAAAGGCGGGAAACTCATCCCTGCACCGGGGTTTCCTCTTGCTACAGGAAACTCCCCCGTGCAATGCTCTGCAACTTGGCGGGGATAATTCTGGTGCCGAAGCACACACACAATCATGCCTTTTGGGTCATGACAATTTGTAACTATTCTTACAGTCTCCTTGTTTAGGCAGGTCTTGATGTTATAGTTTGCCAAAATGAGTGGTGCCAAAGTGTTAGTTTTGTGTGAGAAATGTGTGTTGTGCTCAGCACTGCGTGCATTAGCTACACAGCTTGTAAGCAAGTGGTGTTGTCCATTTTAAGAGACACTCTTGAGCCTATGCTCACAACTCTGGTGCATCTGAGAAGGAGAAAGCTGAGGTGGGGCTGGGCCAAGAAGTAGGGTGGGCTACTATGCAGTAATTGCTCTACTGGTCCCTGGGTGATCAACTGGACCTGATGCTATTGATGGTGTTTCTTGGACTGAGGCCCTGCAGTAAGTGCTTTTTCTGAATTGTTTGGAGACTGCTTTTCATTGAGGCCTAGATGTAACGGCTGAACTGCTGGGAGATGGGACTTCCTCTCCAAAGTTGTCGCAAAGGGAGCATACTCTTTAATTCATCTTGGGCTGCCCTTGTTGATTCCTTTTCACAGCTCCATGGTAGATGGAAGAGGCGGGGAGTAGTTATGTTCAGCTGCAGCAGAAATGTCTGAGTATGCTTCATATCCAGATGCTGAGTACCTGGCTTAAATAGGGCACCATGGTGTTACAAGCTTGCTAGCCTTGCACGTGTCTTTGACTTAGCACCATGCTGGATTTTTACATGCTACTCAGTGACCACATCAGAAGTGTGCTGCTCAGTTGTATCCCTCCTCATCCCACCTGTGCTGCATTGTCTGATGTGTGTCTAAGTTCCTTCCTATCTGTCAGATTTGCTGAGGGGTGTGCATTGCATTACCCTCTACTGACTGCCTTGTAATCATGATAATGCTATCACTAAAAAAAGATGCTGAAAGTTTTCCTCTAGCTCAGAGATGGGTACTTATCGAGGCTGGAGGGCTGCTTAATGTCTTTTGGTGAACTATTGAGGGCTACAAGGGTAGCCCCACCCCTTGGCAGGTGCCCCGCCCCCTGGTCACCAGATTGGAACCAGAAGTCACACCCCCTAACCCCTGACTCTTGCTGCACGGAAATCCCTCCCCTTGGCTCTGAAGGAACTCCTTTTGGGAGGGAGGTTGGCACCTTGGAACCAGAAAAAAAATCATACACTAAAAATCAAACATTACTGTAACATATTATAATTTTATTAAAAAAAAAATGTTGTCCTGATTTACATGCATTTGCCTAGTGTATATAGAGGTGATTGCATAATAGCTTAAAATAAAGTCTTACTCTTGTATATTGTGGGAGAGGGGGATATGGGATTTGTATAGGTGTGGGTATGCGGGGTGGTGAGGGTGGAATTTGTGTGGGTGGGGTTTGTGGGTGCTGGAAGCCACATGGAGACCCGGAGCTAGCCTGGCCTGGCCTGATGGCATGCAGCTTCCAACTGCAGTGCCGGGCACCGCACATGCTGGTATGGAGCCATCCCGGTCTGGTCTGAAGGCACGTCAGCAGTCCAGGCCAGGCCAGCTCCATGCTGCCACGTTCAGCTCCCAGGACTCAGTCGGAGCTGCTTGCCACCAAGGGGCTCTTCCTGCTGTGGGCCATGAGTGCCCCAAGGGCCCTGTGCCTGTTACTGCTGCTGCTAGCGGCAGAGTCTGTGCACTATGGGGAGTGGGGTGTGTGGCAAAGGGGCCCACACTCGCCTACTAACCACATCCCCACCCACATGCACCCTCAGCCCTGTAGGCAGGAGCTCTGCTCCCCATTTGCCAGCTGCCCCGTCGTGCGCCATCATGCTTGGTGCTTTCACAGCTGGAGTGCTGGCAGCCCCACAGAGGTGGAGGCACAGAGCTTGCTTAGTCTGATGGCGCACATCCTCTGAAAGCCTGCCTCCCACTGGCTTTCATTGGGGTCGCTGCAGGACAGTAATAATTGTTTTTTGGAGGGGCCCCGCGGGCCAGATAGATTTCATAGACATCAGGGCTGGAAGGGACCTTGGAAGATCATCGAGTCCAGCCCCCTGCCCAAAGGGCAGGAAGTCAGCTGGGGTCATAGGATCCCAGCAAGATGAGCATCCAGTTTCATCTTGAAGGTGTTCAATGAAGGCGCTTGAGCCACCTCCGGTGGCAGGCTGTTCCAGACCTTGGGGGCTCGGACAGTAAAGAAGTTCTTCCTTATGTCCAGCCTGAAACGATCTTGAAGTAGTTTGTGACCATTTGACCTCGTCATCCCTTGGGGCGCTCTGGTGAACAAACATTCCCCCAGATACTGGTGGTCACCCCTGATAAACTTGTAGGTGGCCATCAGATCACCCCTGAGCCTGCGCTTTTTCAGGCTAAAGAGCCCCAGGGCTCTCAGCCTGTCATCGTAGGGTAAATAAATGAAATGGCCTGGAAGGCCATTTGTGGTCTGCAGGCCATATTTGCCCCCCCAGCCCCAGCTCTGGCTGCCGTGATAGAGGCCTAAATTGGCTTGTTTGGGATTTTACAGATAGTCATGAGTGGTTGTAAATCCCTCTTCAAATCTCATTTAAAACCAAATCACCTGCCTCAGGTAATGGCTGATAGTTGATCTTGTTCACTTCTCTTTCCTGGCTGCTGTATCCTCTCTCTCATGTTGTTCTTCGTTATCATCAAAGACCCCAGTCAGATTTTTATTCTGGTATGTTGTACAAACCTGTGAAACCATGATCCCTGTTCCAGTGGGGGGAAAATTAAGGCTTAAAGATTCAATGGTTGCTTTTTCAAGCACATGTTGATATACTGCCTGCTCAGTTTTTCCAGATGCCCCCAAAGGCCTTCCAGCAAAAACAAGGAAGCTAGGCCTTAAAGAGGTATTATTTTTAAGGGGAGAAAATGAAATGAAATTTCTAATTTATGCTTACTTTCAATATTGGATAGAGGCACAAAAGGGCACAATATCTATGGGGTTTTTTTTCCATTTGCAAGTGTTAAGGGTAAATAACTGATTTCAGTAACTGAGTGGTATGAAAGGCATGCAAAGGTATAGGTAGTTATCAAAAGGTGGCACTAAATGTTAAATGCAACTGGAGTGGAGGGGCAGAGAATGGGATAATAAAGGGGTGAATGGAGATGGTAGTGATTTTAGAGCAAAAATCCAGCAGTATCAAATAAAAAAACTCGTGAAAAGAGATGCACTTAGCACCTCAGACTCCATGTCACAGACATGACTGTCTCAATGTTGTCATTGGATAGGTGTGTTGACTTTAAAGCAAAAACCATGCTATGGTTATTTCATCATTGCTCTGCATTTTATTTCTATTAACACAGGGCATGTGATTCCCCCTCCCCCCATATTAAAAATAACTCACAGAACATACAGGGATGTACTGTTTTCCAACTATTTAAGTTGGTCTAATAAAAGATATCAGATTCACCCAAAGAACCTTGTTTGCCTAACAGAACATAGATACCTGTACATTTATAGAGCACCTTTCATTCTTAAGGATCCCAAAGGTCTGCAGATTATATCTATCCAGTATCTCTGGGAAGAAGCATGAGACATGGGACCTTGAGTAACAGTAGTGAGACACAAACATTTGACAAGGATAAATCCCTTCTCTTGTGAAAAAGATTTAGGAACTTTTCAAAGCTGAGATTTTTCCAAACTCTGTCAGGGATCTGTATGCTGGTTTCTATTAAAATGAAGGGAACTGACATCCAAATCCCTTATGTGCTTTTGAAAATCCCAGCCTGGCTTTCCATCAGGAGTGGCTAGGATCTCAGTACTTAACATTATAGTGCTTATACCCAGTAGACTGCATTAGTATTTAGCCACCTGCCTCCCAATGACTGGCTGGATCAACCCCAAGCAAATGACTATTCTGTTAAATCCTTGGATCAACTGAGGCTTCAGGCACTAATCGGTACCCGATTGGTGGGCAGTTGTGAACCACATGATAGTTTGCTTCCTTGTGCCACTGCTATTTTGAAGACTGTACAATCTTCTTCCTTTTTATTATTATTCATCGTATGGTAGTGCCAAGAGCCCCACTCATGGACCAGGGGTACCAATCCCTGTACAAACAGAACAAACAAAGGAGGCCCCTACCCCAAGGAGCTTACACTCTAAGGTATTTGTATTTGTTAAATCTTCTTGTTTCTCACATGCACCAAACCCAGAAATGCAGCAAGAAAAGCCTGCCTTACCCACAGCTGCTCCCCAGACCTCTGTCTTCAGTGTACTTGAAAGCTGCCACACATGGTGCATCCAGAGCATCCTCACTGCCCCATTTCTGGGTCTGAGGCATGCAAATAGTGGGGGTAGGGTGAGCTTGAGCATGTGGGTCTCCCATGGACCCATTGGGGATGCTGTACAGATCTATGCATAGGGCTTAAAACTGTTCAAAATCTGGTCCCAAAAGCCAAGCAAGCACCAGAAAGTGCTTTGGAATTCCCTTTAAGTGTCCAGCTGCAAGTATAGGTAAAATCTTGAACAAGTAATTTTGTATCTTATTTTCTCCACAAAAATCTGGGGATGAATGCAACAAGGTTGGATGTTGTTTCCCTTTGGCATTTACAAGGCTTGAAACAGATTCCAGAGAGTGAAATGTTATCATCTCTGTGATGAAGTCAGACAAAATGATTGTAATTGTCCATCCTAGTCTTCAGTCTGTCTCCCTCTTTGTCAAAGGTCTCTTTGATACCTGCAGATGAAAGGTATTCTATGGATGCTGGAGATTATTCCTATCAAGGCTTTTTTTCTGGGCACTTCAATGCCATCTTAGACTAGGTTAAATAAGCACCCACTTCAAAGAACCATAGGACTGTGCATCTACCTCCTAGGCTACTCTAATTGCTGCCCCCCCACCACATACACTTTGTTTTAAAATCACTGCTGGGCTTTCAGGACCCAGGAGAATAATTACACATGACTACAAAATAAGAAACCACTTAAAACACAGCTCCTGTTTGGAAATGGAAGACAAGTGGAGACCTGGGAAACAACAGGCTAGGTGGGGGCCTCTCATAACAAAGCTAAAGCATTCAGATCCACTTAACATCCCTGGTCTGGTTCCACTGCCAGTGGCCTTACAGCAGGGGTAAAATCTGCCCTATGAGAAAAATTAAAATAAACCCCAGGGGGCAATTGGATACCAATTAGAGATGTGCTGTTATAAGGTATTTTACTACAAAAGTTGTTAACAAAAGGGCTTGGGGCTAATTGTATGTTTGCAGTTTCAAGGGGTAATCAAATGCTGGGTTTTTGTAGGAGACGAGGTGTGTGCCATATTGCTCAGCTTGTGGCTTTCTGCATTTCTTACAGAGGCATACAGACAGTATGATGGTGGTAAGGAGGAAGAGCCCGCTTGTTGCAGACAAGGCAGCCAGGATGGTTTTGTAACTGGGTTTTGTTTTAAATTGGGTGCATGGATTGCTTAAGACCCTCTCTCTCGGGCTGGCTCCTGCTTTGTTCAAAGCAATCACACAGACCTTGTAGGTGGTGTCTGGTGACAGCTTATACAATGTGTGCTGCCTGGCAGTGGTGTAAATCTCATCGAAGGATGTCTGGCCTTCCTCACTGCCTTCAGCATGGAATACTAGCTGGTAGCTATTCACGACTGAATTTGGAGCACACCAGTGGATCAGGGCTGAGGTGTCTGTAATTTCAGACACCTCTCTGAGCCTTGGGGAATCAGGGACAGTGTCTTCTCCAGACACTCCAGGACACAGACATGGAGACAAGGTTTGAAGTTCAGAGCATGGTTTCTGCAGGTGTTTGCAAGGATTGTAGTCACAAGGGACATGTCTTGGTTGAGTTGCGGCCTCCTCTTCTTCATATTCATAGTCCTCTACATAGTGTATTGGTATTCCAGTTTGTGTAGGATCTGGGTTAGATTTTGCCTTGAAAGAGCCTTGCTGCAGTTGGTCTGTTGGAGATGTGTTTATGGTGTCCTGTGGAGTTAAGGAGTATTTTGAAAGTTCGCTGAGCAACATTGGAGAGTCTGTAACGCTCACATCAGTAGAAGGGTCATTAGTAAATTGATGAAGTTTTCCCTCATAGTGGAAAAGGTTAATGGCGATTGTGGTATTTTCCTTCGATTGATCTGTTTGAGTTGTAATCACGGTGTTGTGCTCCATAAAGGAATTACTAGAAAGCTCCTCCAGGATGTCTGAAGAGGTAGCTTCCGGTGTTACAGTAGAAGGACTGTCAACAGATTTGGAAAATGCTTCCTCCTTGTAAAGAGGGTGGATACCCTGTGTGGGCTTCTCCTTCATTAGCTCCATCCCTGTCTCACTAACTGTGCTTTGTGAGACAATGGCATCACTCACCACGTCTAAGAAGACCAGAGCTGGGTCTGTCAGCATTGCTGCACTGGTAGGGTTATTAATAGTGACGTGGGATGGGCTGTCTCTGTGAAAAGGAGTTACTGACTCTGGGAGCGTGTCATTTCTCCTCGACTGGCACTCTTCATAGAGCAATAACAGTGAAAGAGATGATGACGGCGTATCTCTGTCTCTTGGGGCTGTGTTGCAAGTTGTATTTGCTCTCCTAGGAGATGAAACAAATCAGTAAGAAGACATAATAGTTATTGGAAGGCACTGCCAACCCCTCTAACTCTTCCCCATTAATGAGCTGCTAATACAGAGGTGGGCAGTTATTTTGGCTGAAGGGCCACTTAAGTTTTGGTGACTCATCAAGGGCCACATCCTTCTCTCTCTCTCTTCTCCTCTCCCTTCTCTCTCTGTCTCTCTCCCCCTCCCTCCCCGCTTCCATAACCCAGCCAGAACTGTAGTTTGCCAGGAGCCTTGATGCTCAGCTGTGGATCCAGATGTGGACTTCCACCGCGGCAGGCAGGTGATGGCATCAGCTGTGGCCACAGCCAGTGGGTTCTGCAGCCCTGATGTAGAACTCACTGGTGGTGTCCACAGCTGATGCTGCCAGCAGGTTCTGGATCAGGGCTCCGGGCAGGAGCTTCTGTCTGTGCTGGGAGGGCAGTGGCATTAGCTGTGGACACTGCCAGCATGTTCTGAATCAGGGCTCCTGAACCTGCCAGCAGCTCCCACAGCTGACACCACTGCCTACCCAGCACCGTGGAACCCCTTCCTAGGTCCACAGCTGATGCTGCTGGGCAGACCAGTCAAATCTGTTGGCTGGCCAGATCCAGCCTATGGGGTATTGTTTTGCCCACCCCTTTGCTAACATCATTCAGACCCCTGCTTTCTCCCTGGGAAGTATGAAATCTAGGCCCAGAGCCAGGCAAATTCTTGATAATACTTTTGTATTTTCAGGGTGATTTCCCTCATCTTGTCAACTTGGCTGCCTCCTTTTTTTGCAAGGTGCAGCAAGTATCCCATGACTGGGAGGCTATCCGCCTCATGTGGTGGCACTGCAAATACAGCATTTCAAAGGATCAGTCTCCCCAGCTAAAATGAATAATCCCACATTCAAGATGGCAGTGAGGGGCACCATTGAGTGCTGTGTAATTTGTTCCATGGTATTCTTAGCCATTGCTGGCTGAGGAGCTGCAGACTTGACTGCTGATCTCCTGTTTGGCAGGACACAGCACCTTTCAGGTTGCTGATCTAGATCATATTTTATTTGCACTAACAGAAAAAAAAATGACTAAGTGTGGAGGCAGAGAATAAATTATCTAGGTCCTAAAGTGGAATCTGTAGGTGACATCATTTTCCAGTTTTGCTTCTGTTAATAGGGCATTGTTGCTTTCAGATATAATTAGCCCAAATTTTGTTGCATTCTTGAAGAAGGGTAAGTACAGACAAGGAATATGGATAATATGGACAGGAAAGCAATCTTGTCTGTGAATAGTTTGCAGCAAAAAATCTCAATAAAAAGGCCAGGGCTGTATCTATTTGAATGCACACAGCATGCAGGTGTATAAGGTGCTTTACCTTTCCAGAACAATTCTTGCGGGATCAGAGAGCAGCCATGAAAGCTTACAGTTGCACTGTAGAGGATTTCCAGACAGGTTGATGACAACGCTCTCTGATGAACTGGTATTCCAGGGATCAAAAGAACTCAGGTTACAGCTAGGAGTTGAGAAACAAGATCATAATTAACCCATGTTGGCTAGGGTCCAAGGGCTGGACTGTGTTAACAACTCTGTGTAACATGAGAGGGCCTGCAGCCTTCCCTGTTCCCTGAGGGGCTAGTAATCTTCTATCAACCCATTGCACTAGCAGATTACTAATCCCCTCCCCCTGCTCTGATGAAACCCAGGCTTGTACCTCGATATCAGCCTGATGCTATTTATCCCAGCTATGATTCACTCCCTGCAGCAGCATGAAGTTATTCATAACAAGAATGCATTTGGGATTGCAGCTGGAAAGGAAAAGGCCTCCACTCTTGAGAGGTCTGCTCCATTCAATTTAGGGTTGCCAACCCTCCCGGATTGACTGGGAGACTACTAGAATCGGCATCGATCTCCCGGTGACTATTGAAAGCAATACAGGAGACTGATATTGTGAACGGGTTGAACAGTACAATTAAGGACAGTACATCATGTTGGGGGGGAAAAAAATCTGGAATTGCTTCAGTCAGAGTTGGCAACCCTAATTAAACTGTGTTTTATTCTTCTAACACTTGGATTCATGTCTGCTTCCACAGCTTCTTCCACCCCTGTTCATGATGTAGTCGCCCAATCCTTTCATCTCCTTGTGTTTGAAATTGCAGTGTAATTTTTGCATTTCTTGTATCCTTTCTCTCATTGGTATTCTCACAAATGCAGTGTTGGCAATTCTCATGATACTTGGTATCCTTCCCAAAGGCCCAGCATCCAAAGTCAGGTGATTATAGGTACAGGCGCATCCAGCGGGGTGCAGTGGTGCAGTCTCACTCTCTCCTTTACTCCTGCTCTATCCAAAGTTTGAAACCAACTGCCCGGCAGTGGAAGTGGCATTTCCTTTCAGGCAGCAGTGAGAGAGTGACTTGTCTTCATGGCTCATTATAATCTATCACAGGTCTTAACATCTCTCCCTCCTTTTCTAATGGTCTTGATGTTCTTCCATTCTGCTGTCCTCTGGCTCCTCCTGATAATGTAGCTCCTGTTTCACAGCCCTGAAGACTGTTTTTCCCTAGCTAAAAACATTTACTCAGGTGTGAAAACATCATCTCAGGTGTGGAAATAATTTTCAGTCAACATGCTCAAGAAGGCTAGATATTGTTTTATGAATCTGAACAAAACAGGGTTTTAATTCTAATGACCACAGGACTAAAGAAATGACATCTTTTGATTATTTTTTGCCTAATTTGTTATGGGTTTTTTTAAATATGTAACGTATGATATAGCAAGGTAATGCACTTTCCAAGAAAGTTATGTTTGTTTTTGTTTCAATCTTAACTGGAATAATATAGCCCTAGGGCCCTAGCATATTAGCAAGCTTCTAGTTTCTTTTTATCTGGAGAAAAATGTGTATTGTGTTACATATGATGATGCAGCTCACCATCTGCATCCCCCTGTTCAACATCTCAGATTTGCCTATGATTATAGGAGAATCTCAGTTTAATTTACAAGAACAGGTGAGATTTTCAGAAAGGTTTTCAAGAAATGCTTGAAAATGCAATTCAAGTCCATCCTAAATGTTCAGAAGCCCGAAGCAAAGAAAAAGCACCTACAGTGCATTTTTTAAATCTCATGATTTCCAAGTCAGTTCCATTTTTAAGCACAATTCATGATTTTTGAAAGCTTGGGGTTGACACTGTGGCCGATACCACCACATCTTTATGGGCCTGATATGTCTACTGCCCTTTCCTTCTCAGGTAGAGCATCAGATCTGTGAGGCAGGGGGTTTGCACATGTTCTGTAAGATACTGTGTCAGTTCTGTTCCCAAGTGCAGCAGTGTGTCCAAGAGCAGCACCTGGTCTTCCCTGTGCTCACAGCTTGTAGTCTGTCCTTCTTTCATACAACCAGTGCCCAGGGTTGGTCCCCCCCGCTTTTTCTGCAAGACTCATAATCTGTGCTGATATCTTAGATGATTTTCCTCAATATCCCCCAATCCTTTTATTAATCAGCGCTGACTGCTTTCTTTGCAATGTAGTCTCTATTTTGGCAAATTGCCTTCAGGCTTATAGCTTTGTCTCCAGTAATTATTAATTGCTGTGTAACCAGTTGGGTAAGTGGAGCAAAATGTATTTTCAGTGTGGCTCGCTTCTGGCAAAGAATAAAAAAATTCCTTTAATCTAACATTGAACAAGGAACTCTATTATCCCCAAATCTCTGTATCTCTCAGCCTCACTGCCATATATATAACCTTCCACCATGCATAGAAGGCACATCCCTAAGGCCCTGCTGCTACTTCAGTGAAGTAGTTGTACTTCAGAAGTTAGTACCAGGTTCTGCTATAACATTGGGGCCACTAGGGACACTGGCAATGAGTTATTTAAATTAGTGTGGTCTAGTGCAAGGGTTGGCAACCTATGGTCAACAGGCCAGGTCCGGCCTGTGGGACCATTGGACTTGGCTTGTGGAGCTGGTGGGGGCTTTGCCCATAGGACAACTGGGCACCAGGGAGAAGGAGCAGTGGGGAGGAGCAGTGACAGCAGCCAGGTCCTAGGTCTGGCTCTCCTTGGACCTGAGTTGGGTCATTTCAGCACACCGCTAGAAAACTTTACTGACAGCTGGTTTAGTACATTAGAGGGTGGATGCAGGACTGGGCACCAGGAAGCCTCCCCATTCTCCATGGTGATTCTGCTACTGACCTGCTGTGTGACCTGGACAAGCCACAGTGTTGCTAATTCTCATGGTTTTGTCTCTCTCAATAGTTTTTTCTTAAATTCCCAGATCCCAGAGTCAAGTGATGATATCAGAATCTTAGCTCCCATTAAGGTAACAGTTTCTAGCCTTTACAGTTGAATAGAAGAGCGTAGAATAACTACCCAATATGAACCATAAAAAGTCTCAGAAAGTAGATGGCACAAGAAGAACATCCCCTTTCTTGTAGCAACCCATTGATTTTTAAGCCTCTCTTGCAGTCAGTGGATTTTGTATGCAGATATTTCAAGCTCCTGTTTTAAGCATGTCTTAGTGTTGTCCCCCAGGAACATTACTGACACAACCCTTGAAACTGAAGTCAGGGGAGTTGTATGTAGTAGCACAAAATTTGGCCCCATAAACCTCCAGTCGAGCAGCGTCCGAATGGCTAATGAAAGCATTAAAACCTGGCGTAAGAGGCTAAAAAATCCAAGGGGAGGATGTGTGAGAGGTCAGGTGTTTTTCAAGATGGGAGTGATTAAGAGGCAGGTCATTAATGCTTAACCAGATTCTCCTCTTGTTTATAGTTCAGCGTCTCTGCTGAAGTTAATCCAGGATTCAGCGAAATAAGCTTTTCTAATGTGTGGATCCACTCAGAGACAGAAGCTGTACAGGAATCACAATACATTTATGCATGCCAATGATTGCAGCATGCTCCTAAACTAAACTTAGGGCATCACTGTACCATGATACAGTTTTTGGCTCATAGAAGGTTCTCTGCTTCTCCCACTATCCAATGGGTGTAGCAAAGAAGCTAGTTGTCTCCTTGATCCTAGGGCCAGTTTTATAGCAGCCTTATAGCTGCTCTAATCTGGAGCAGCTGAATATGGCTCCTAGGCAGTTGTCTGACAGCCAAGAGTCTTGGAAGTGCAGTGCAATCCAGCTGCACTTCCCCAGCAGGCCCCATATCATACCAAAAGCTGCAGTCCATAAATAGATACTGTACCACTCTCCCTTAGCAAAGAACTCTCCCCACACTGGGGAGATCAGTCATCTTTCTGGTGCCTTTAAGGACAAAGTCTCTACCCCCCAGAATGGGAAATCCTAGTTCAGCTGCATCAGCTGAATTTGCCCCATGCTTCAGAGCTTGAAATGGCTCTGAAAAGGGTGGGAAATCCCTTCTGTGTGTGCAATAACAGGCTGGAAGGGGTCCTACATTCAGGGCTACAACACTCTCAGCAAGCAGGAATAATTACATACATGCGAGCAAAGAGAAAAAGAAACATACTTTTGGAATATGAGGAACCTCAGGTGTGGAGCATCTTCAAATATCTTTGTCCTCACTGAACTCAGCATGTGGGAGTCCTGGCAGTTCAATTCTCTCAGCCTTGGCATAGACTTGAAGAGATCTGTATCAAGGCTTCTCAACCGGGCCATCCTGGTAAGATGGAGGGAGCTAAGGTTGGGCAGGTCTTGGGTCCATTCCTGTTGTACTGAAGCAAAGAGATTTTTAACTAGTATGTGAATGGAGGATGGTCCTGGATTTCTGACTTGTCAAGAAGTAGTGGGCACTGGGTGGAGTTTCACTGACAAACAAATATTCCTGAGGGTTATTTCCCAAGTAGTCAAGGAGAACATGCACTCTCACTGCATGGAGAGCTGGACATATTTATTAGGAATGTGGCTGGACTCTCAAGTAAGGAACTGCTGGGTATGATTGTAGATTTACAGCACTGCAAATCTTTGTAATACTTCCTTGATCTTCTGCAGCTCCTTTGTCAGAGTCCTTAACAAATGGTTCACAAAGCACTGAGTGATGAATTATTATACCCATTTTATTTCATTAAATATGATAAGAGTCCAGGAGAGAAAGAGGAAAGATTGTCCTAGAGAAGAGGGACAGCCCTGCAGTTCAGGGAGCAGACTGGGATTCAGGCAAGGTCATTTAATCTCTGCATGCCTCAGTTCCCCATTTATAAAATGGGGTGAAGTCTTCCCTTTGTTCTACCTTGTCTCTCTAGACTGTAACATCTTTGGAGCAGGGGCTGTCTCTCCCCATGTAGATACACAGTGCCTAACACTGTGAGGCCTTGGGCTGTAGGAATTGTGGAAGGAAAGGCTAATTCCAGAAATATGACTGAAAAACCAGAGGCTGGCTTTCACAGAGTCTGGCTGGGAAGAGAAGAATCAAAGATAAATCCAAGGCTGAGAGCTGGCTGATAGGAGAGGATAACACTATTGCCCACAGGCTGGGACAGATCCAAGGGGGTGCGCTGGTGTACTTGCACCCCTTTTGATTCCTGCTCCACCCAAAATTTAAAACCAACTGCCTGGCAGTGGCAGCAGCATTTCTAGTCAGACAGTGCTGAGGAGTCCCTTGACTTCATGGCTCATTCTCATCTACCTGATCCTTTCTAAACTCTTCAGTCTACAGGTGTTAACAACCCTCTCCTTTTTAATGGCCTTGATGTCCCACCAATCCAGCTAGCCTTTGCTCTGCAGTTCTGCTGTCTGTACCTGCTCCTGGTAATTGAGCTCCTATGTCACAGCCCTGCAGATTGTTCTTAACTCATTCTAATGAAGTTATATGTGTTTGTGTCTCAACTTTAAACTGAATAATATAGCCCTAAACCCCTAGCATATTAGTAAACTTCTAGTTTCTTTTCACTTGGAGAAAATGTGTTGTGTTATATGGGATGATGCACCACACCATCTGCACCCCCCTTTTCAGAATCCTAGATCCACCCATGTCCATGGGGATGGGGAGAGAGGTTATGAGGAGGGATGTGAAATTCTCTTGTGGCCACATTCAGTTGCTAGGTTTGCACTTCAGCTATTCCTCTAGATTCCCCTCTGAAGGGGAAAACTTTGAGCCTTCTGAAAGGTTGTCTATACTAGGGAATTTATAACAACTGGGGAGCATGTGAGGTCCCTCCCAGGCCTGATCAGGAGTGGAGACATGCCCCAGCAGCTCCAACTAGCCAGCAGCAGCAGCTCCTGCCTTTGCTTCTGGAAATTGCCAGTTCTACTCCTGGCATCAACCAAGCTGTCCACCATCTAAAACAAGGCCAAGCTTGACCAGGCCCCATGTTTACCGCAAATATTTAAGACTTACATTTTTCCAGAGAGGTCCCACTCAGATCAAGCACATGGATGGTATTGTCTGACCTTCTGCTGGTGTCCCCTGGTAGCATCCTCATGGCAAAGGCGGACTCTCTAATCCCTCCACCAGTGTCTTGCCCTAGCAGAGTGGCAGACAAGTTCAGGAACTGGAGTTGTGGGTAACAGGAGAAAGCCAGTGGCTGGATTTGAGTGATGGGGTTTCCAGCCAGTGATAGCCACTTTAGGTTTGGCAGATAGGAGCCCTGGCATGAAGGCACAGATGACAACTTATTCAAACTTAGGTCCAGGAATCGGAGACTGCTGAGGGCTTCACTTCCCCATATGACTTCTTCAATGTTGTTCTGCCTCAGAGAGAGGATACGCAGATTTGGCAAGTTCACTATCTCTGTGCCATTCAGCATGCTCAGGACGTTGGTGCTGAGGTCTAGGGTCTCCACCACCTCAGGCAAGCAGGCAGGAAAGGAGCTCAAGCTGTGGTTGGTCAGATGCAAGATGGTCCATGTGTTGTTCCTCATATCCTCGCAGGACATGCTACTAAGATTTACGTTCTTCCATGAGCTTTCCTCGGCCAGTAGGAAAACATTCATAAAATCTCCCAGTGTCAGAGATGCTGCTCTTTTTGTGGGGCCGGATGCCACCTTCAATACCAGCAGAGAGAGGGTGAGCAGGAGAGAAAACATCCTTCTGCTTCAATGTGGCTCAATTAAATCACAAAATCTGTTTTTCCAGGGAAGGGAAAGAAAAACAGCAATGTTGAGAAATAAATTAAAATCCCTCCAGGCTGTCGCAAGCTATTTTAAACTGATAAGCATTTGCCTCTTGCATCAAGCTGGGGGAAGTGATAATTAGCACCTCTGTTGTAATTAAAGCTAAGCAAAGACGAGTCCTGGGGGGTGGAATTCTCATGTGATCCTTTTTTTAACAGTGCATAAAAACCTTTTGTCCTAAAGGCAAAAAAGTATCACAAGTTTTACAGGTACAGCACTATCTTCTTTACCTAGTGCAGTGCAGTAGCAAGGAGGGGTGGGTGGGGTGACTGCTCCAGGCACGAAAGCAAAGGGGCGCCAACAGGTGCTGCCCAGACAGGGCAGGGCACAGGATGTAGCCACAAGCAGTTTGTTTGGGGGGACGAGGGGAGGGTGGCTCCCATGGCTGCATGCACTCTAGGAAAAGCATTGCTGGGGGAGGGGTGTGCCCCCTGGATCTGTGCATGGGGCAAGAGTGGGCTGCTGCTGCAGGTTTTCTCCTGGGCATCAAACTTCCTTGCCATGGCACTGACCTAGTGTATGCCCAGAGCTGAATCTGTGAGGGGAAAGCAGCAGCCAATTTTGATGGCCAGCTCTTTGGAGCAGGGACCATGATTTGTTCCATGTTTATAGCACGCCTAGCATCGTGGAGTCCTTGCCTGGGAGGAAGACTCCTCAGCACAACCATAATGCAATTAATACTAGTCACAAGGACAGGTCTGCAGTAAGCTATCCTAATAATTTTGCTCAAAGCAAGGTCACATCACTGGTCTCATGTAACATTCAGTTACAGCTTTAATCTCGACACAGAGCAAACAGGGACTCATCTCTAGGTGACCCCAGTGCAAGGTAACAAATATGTTTGCTTCACTGAGGCTTGCTCTGTAAGAAGCGGTGGCCAGGCTGTGGGGAGCTAGGGCTTGGAAGGCCACTGGCTCCTCATTGGGTTAAAAAAGAAAGCTCTTAATGGGGCTTTTTCAGCAACGCTAAAGTGATTTAAGAGCACCGATTCCAGCAATGTTCAATGTGGCTTGTGGGTAAAAGTACCTGCTACCTTGTCTGCCCTAGAAAGACCTTGCTGGTAAGGCCTGAAGTAGAGAGACAGCTTATATCAGCAGAAGCATTTGGAACAGACTGAGCTACCCTGGCAAAAGGACCCTTTTGTATAACTACACTGCACTAGGACTCTTGCCAGTGCAGTTATATAGATGAGGGCTGTGTGTTTTTTCACACCAGCACAGCTTTGCTGGCACAACTTTTAAGTGTGAATCAGAACAAGTCCCATTGAAAGTCAGGCTCCTAAAGCCCAGTCCAGACTTAATTGAAAAACAGTGAATGCAAAAGGTGGGTGGGTCCTCCTCCTCCTTGTGGCTTTTTTGTGACTCAGTCTTACAGGGGAGACGATGCGGGGTTCCCGAAGTAGATGCATCCATGGATTTTCAGGAATTCTAGCAGGGAAGGGACAGAACTGCACTCAGAGCTATACCAGCAAAAGTTTGGAGCATAGATATGGCCTACATTGCTTAGGTGTTTCTGGATCACTCCCGTCACCGCTTCTACCCCTTTGGCTTTTATACTGATGTCCTTTTGCCCAGCAGTGCCAGGTTTGGAGCCCTTCAGCAGGCAAGGGTCCTGCTGATACAAAACTATTACAGAGCATCTACGAGCCCACATGGCTCTGAATCAGAACAGCCAAAACTCAGGAGAGACCCTTTCTTCCTACAGAAACCTCAGCACACAGTCCCCAGCACCTGTTCCCTAGAAACTATGCATTAGAGTCATTCATTGCTTTCACTTTAGCTGCCTCTTTTCTCTATTTGAGATGTTTTCCTTAAAAATTCCCAGCTCAAAAATGTTTTCTTAGGGTCCCTATGGTTTAGCTCCTCACTAGTCTCCTGTGAGACACATAGTGCTTACTCCAGACAAAACTACAGCCTGGTGGGGGCTCCTTCAGGCCAGGCCAAAATAATAGGGAATTTTGTGCTGAGCCCTTGTGTGGGAGAGAAGGATGACTTACTGAGCTGACATCACAACTGACCCTTGGGCACCGCTCCTCCCTCCTCCGAGCACTGTCCTCCTGGAGTGCTTTCAGAGCGATAGACAGCTTCCCTCCAGCCTTCCTCTCGCACATTCTGGTCTTGGCACTTCTCCTCGGGGTTTTTCCTGGCAGGGCCTCATCCGGGAGTGCTCTCAGTGCACACAAATGTCAGTGGGTCACTCTGCACCTCCGAGGAGATGATCAACTCCCTGTGGGAGCTGGCTCCGGACTAGCCTCTCCAGTTAAATGAAACCATTCGCTTTCCCTGTCTCACTCTACAGTGACTGTCCAGGACAGACCTGGATGCATGTAACTCTCTTCTTTCTCCCAACAGTGACTTCTAAATGTAACGCACCCGCTTTTCCCTTGCTGTGGCTGTCAGACTGTTTAATGCAGTGCAGGTGTCCATTCAACCAGTGTGGCCTCCAGAGTAAGCATTACTGGATTGTGCATAATACCACTACCTAGCCCATTCAGGCAGGCAGGCACCCTTCCCTGGAAGAGAGGCACAAACCACTAGCTGCACCTGTGTGTGGAGATAGCCATTTACTTTGCCCACCCCACCATAGCGTCTGCCTGCCTCATAGCTGTGAAGGGTACTCAGGTTGTAGCCATCTTGGTCTAAATTCATATGAAATATGAATTTTAATTTCTACCTAGGAGAACTTTTATAATCCTTGCAATCTCCTCTGCCTGATGAAGCATGCTTGTGCCTAAAAGCATGCAAATAAAGATTTATTTTTTTGCAAATATCTAGCTGGTCTAATACAAGATGTCACCTTTGCCACAAGTTTTGATTCCTTATACCTGTGAAGGTATTCAACACTGCTGGGAGGGAGGGCAATGTTCCTGCCTCCATGTTAGGGCATCTAAGCACCCAAGCCCATGGATCCCAGGTGGGTGTTTTGGAAAATCCCATCAGGCACTTCTTAAATTCTGGCCCAAAGTGGCTTGTCCCAGGTCACACAGGAAGTCTGTGTCAGGACAAAGAACTGAACTGGGTCTCCCAAGCCCCTGGCTGGTGACTTAGTCATGGTCCTTTGTGAGGCAGCACAATGCTGAGCCCCAACCCCAAACGCCTCAGCAATGAGGTAATTCTGTGCATGGTTTGGGTTCAGTGTGCTCCCCCAGTGCTGCTCTGGTGATTATTTCCATTGCCTTAATCATGCCCAGCATTTTCCTGAACAACAAAGAGATCAGGGGCCTTGACTCTTAACTGCTCTCTCTCTCCCAGGGGATGAGACAGGGGAGTGGGGAGTGAAGTTGTCTTCAACAACCCTTGTGCTCCCCCCACCGGGGGCAAAGCCTACCCCTCAACACGCGAGAGCAGCCCTGGGGCCCTTTGCCATTGCACTGGTCCCCAGGGAGCAGGGACCCTGCAAGACAGGGAGATGGCTATAGACAGACATGTCAGTGCCAGGCAGGGCTGGATACAGGCATGGGCAAACAGGGCAGCCACCCAGGGCCTGGACAGAAAGGGGGCCCCAAAATGGTGAAAATTATAATAATTATTATTATTACTATAGCTGGCGAAGGGGGCCCAATACTAAAAGTTTGCCTGGAGCTGCCAGGAGTCTAGGTATAGTGCTGGTGCCAGGGCCAGTCCCAGCCACTCACCCCTGCATGACACCCGCTTGCACCTACCTGTCCTGGAGTGCTGACGCCGTGTCTCCTGTCTGCCTGCTCTGATTGCCTTGTGCTTGCTTTATACACTCCGGTGACTCAGCTTGGGGCTCTGAAGTGCCTTGGTTTGACTTCTTCCCAGCTTCCCCCACAGCTCTCTTGCCCAGTGCTAGGGATGAGTGCGTTCCAGTCCCACTCCCCTGCATGCCAGCTTCCCCACCCTCCCTCCTTCCCTCCGGGGGTGGGGGGGCTGGGCTTAGTCTATGCTTTCAGCTCTCTCACCCTTACTAGGAGCAGGGTTCCCACCATCACCCCCCCTCCTCACACAGGACATGTTCCTCCTCCCCTGCTCTGAGGGGAGGAGGGAAGGAGAAAGATCAACATCTCTGTTCCCAGCTCCCACTTCTCCCACCCACCCTGGAGGGAGATTATTACAGAAGGGTTCAAGCTGATGCTTGTCTGCTGATACCAGCCCTGATATTTCCTAAGCGGCTGATAAAGTCACCACTTGTTTACATTTCTCAGGAAAAGTCTGAAGACACAAGTGCAAATCCTGGAGGCATTTGCTTGAGACAAGTGGCTTTTAATAGCAACCTTACCTGTAAAGGGGCCCCAGTGGATGTGGGAAGCAAAGGTCTTGCCTGGAACGCCAAGGCAGGGATCGTGGGGAGCTGGGCGCTCCCTCCAGGGGCCAAAGACCAGATGTGCCATATTCGGTGTGGGTGCTCCAGGCTTAGGAGGAATTTGACATCATTTAGGAGGGGTCCTCCTGCGGGTGCTAGTGCCAGAGCTGCCACCTACCAACTCTGTTGCCCTGGGCAAGTCTCTTTGCAATGTTTCTTTTCTCCATTTCTGATCATCTGCCTCATGGGTGCCCAACTTGTCTGCACTCCTGGGCTGGATCCGGATACAGGGCTCCCTGTGAAGCAGAGTCAGCCCACAGGGCTCCTTGCAGTCTGGATCTGGACGAAGCAGTAGTGGTAGGGCAAGCAATGATGGCATAGGGATGAACACAACTATCACTCACCTTTCCTCTCCTCTCCCCCCACCAATGGGCATGCCCAGTCAGACTCTAGTTGGGGACTTAGTGGCCAGGCCCTGTCCCTACTCACCCAGCCCCCAAATTCCCAGCCCCTGTGGGCCCCCCACAGGCTAGGTAAAACAGCTCCATGGGCTGAATCCAGACCATGGGCCAAAGGTTTGACACTCCTGATCTGCCTTGACTGTGAGACGGGGGACTCCATGTCTGCAAAGCACCAGGCACAACAGGGCCCTGATCTTAGCTAGGACCATTAGGCACTACTGTCATACCAATATAAAAGTAAGGGGGAGAGAGGTGAAGATCTCATAGGAAAATATAATGCTAGGAAGGAAAGAAGCTAATAGAACTGCTTCAAGTGAAAGCATGAAGAAAATCCCTTGGCCCTTTAGTTGCCACTGGAAAACAACGGATAACAAGAGTCTAGCAGGCTTACCTTTTCGGAGCTTGGGTTGAGTCCCAGGATCGAGGGTCTGCTGTTTGATTGGTGGAGCCTGCCCACCAATCTGGAGGCAGCGCAAGGGAAGCAATGCCCTGCCCTTTTCCGAAGGGAGGGGGCAAGGAGCAGTTGGACCTGAATCAGAACTGCACCAACCAGGTGCGGAGAACTTTGGGGGTGGAGCCTCTGAAGAGTATAAAAGGGGAGCATGCTCAGCAGGCTGGGGAGATGAGAGGGATGAGAGGGATGGGTATAGGGATAGGGATAGGGATAGGGATAGGGATAGGGATAGGGATAGGAGCTCCAGAGACAGCCGTCCTTGGGACCCTGCTTGAGCTTCAGCGGTGCACAAATTGGTGTACGAGGATCAGGCCCTAGGGAGCCGCTCAAGGCAGCTTGAGCCTGTGAACCTAGCAAGCGGCTGGGCAGTCGTTGTGCAGATCGGCACACAGAGAGCTGGCCATGGGAGCAGCTCGTGGCTGCTCAGGCCCTGCACGGTGTGCAGATCGGCACACGGAGAGCTGGCCCTGGGAGCAGCTTGCGGCTGCTTGGGCCTCACCTGGTATGCAGGTCGGCACATGGAGAACTGCCTTGGAAGCAGCTCACAGCTGCTCACCTTAGCCCCGGCCCTAGGCCAAGTGACCGCAGCCCCGCAGCATGACTCAACTTTTAACTAAAAGAGCCCCGGTGCCCGGAGCAGGGCCCAGGAAAGGGGACAACCCCCGGCGTGAGACCAGGGAGTTGGAGGCCGGTGTGAGACTGGGGAGTCTGAGCCCGCAAGGGCTTGGCTCCCACGAGAGACAGGGAGCCCTGGGTGCCCAGTGCAGGGTGCCGGGCCATCGTGGAGAGCTGAACGTGCCGCTGGGGAGAGGCTCTTGCGGGATCAGCCACCAGGGGACGAGCCTTGACTTCTCCAGAGAGGAAGTGTGAGTTACTGGGGAAGCGGGCCCCGCAGGGGAGGCTGACATGGGTGAGGAGGGTCTGCTGCTTCCACGTCCCAGCGCCCTAAAGGGGAGGGGCTTCAGGGAAACCCCTCGGGGGGGTGGTGGTGCTGAGTGCACTCCCTATTTTGAAGTTGTCGTGTTAAGGGCTATATAGCTAGAGGTATTCTTTAAGGGGGTTTATATGGTTTGTGTTTTAATGTCTCAATATGTATATTGGTATTGTTATTTGTGAAGGTTTAAAGAAATATAATGGTTATTTTACTTGGGTTATATAGGTTAATATCCCTATGTGTTAATTGTATTGTATAAGTTGTACATTTTTTGGTTCATATTTGGTACTATATGCGACTTGTGGAATATTATATATAGTATTATATGTTAAGCCTTGTAAATAGTCCATGTTTTATATTAGGTGTCTGTATTTATTCTTGTAATAAATGGTACATAGTTAAGTACTTATTTTCATCTTAGCCTAATAGAGAGGGGAGGAAGCCGCTTTAGTAGCTGACCCCTTCCTCAGCACCCTGCCTGACCACCACCACTGCCATCGGAGGACAAGGCACACCCCCTAGGTGTACCTGGGCTACAAGAGCACTGATCGTGTTCTGTCTGGAAACTTCACTCTCTCTGGACAGCACAAACATATTGGTGTCGGACAGGCCTCTTCACTTCAGCGATAATGCAGAGATTAAGGTTGTGCTTTCCTAAAGACCTTGAAAACATATGCACATGGGATTTATCTTTGCCTACTATGACATATATTATCTCCTGCCCATGTCATTTGCTATTGGGGAAGGGGAGCCTTGAAAAACACCAGAACACTCAGAGAACAAGATACGGTCTCTTAATGGGGCTTTCTGGAGCTTTGTGGTTTTTTAGAAGGTAAAACAAGAGGTACGTGTTGTTCCCTTGTGGTTTAGGGATGTAGCTTGCTCTGTAGTTTGTTAAGCAAGGCAAATGGTTTTCTGAAATTGGGCCTGATGAGTGAACGGCCACCCTAAGTGCACAGGAGCTGCTCACATGAGCATTTGTGAGTAAGTGTGTTTACTAGGCCCAGTTTTACTGAATGGCCAGAAAGAGGTGGCTTCAGATGACCTTCTCCTGCTCAAATAGTTCATAAAATGAACGGGATGCCAACTGTCTTTGCATCTATTCTGGGAGGTTTCATCACATGATGTTATGACAGTAATGCCTTTATATCAGGAAGGCAAATGCACATTTAAAAAACCCACTGGACTACTATATAAATCAGATTCAGCATTTAATATTTACTTTAATGAATCCCCTATCATTTATCTTCCAGGTGACTCTCAGCAGTCTCCTGGAGATTTATTTTGAATTCCTGGCGACTCCAGGGTAATCTTGGAGGGTTGGCAACCCTATAAAATGACCATGCCAAAGCTCTCACTATTGGCCATAGGCATCAGTGGGGGTGGAGTTCGACCATTGCCCAGGAAAAAACAACTTTCCAGCTCTAAATGCTAATTTTTTTTGGACTGTCTTCACCTCCAACACCCTATTAAGATCCTTGCTAGACAGGAAGCTGCACTTTGCTATTAAGTACCAGTGGAGCATCTTCTGTTGTTAGCCAGGTTTTTACAGACAATGAATCTTCATGAGAAAGTGGGTTAATTATTATAGCATTTTTTTAACCTTTGAAAAGGAACTTTTTAACCTCTGAAAGGGGACAGAGCTCAGTTCAGCTCTGCAAGCCAAGCTCTGCCCTGACTTTTAATTCATTCAGCCCCATAGATTTAATTCTAGTGGTCCAGGCAGGTGAAAAATGTAGGAGGTAAAAAATGCTTCAATGATTTGGCTCAGGGAGCCACTGTGTTAATCTGGCAATGGCTTTTGTTTTCATCTGGCCAATCAACTCCAATGAAGCTGGAAGTCGGATAGAATTTGGCCAACCGTGGGCCTAATCCTGAAAAGTGCAAAGCACTTGCCAGCCCCAAAAACTTCAGCAGGCATGGTGAGGTGCACAGTATCTGACTTGGCTCTCGCTTTGAGAGCATGGCCTACAAAGGGCTGGGTATCCTGGCTGGTGCAGGTCTTACATTATTTTTTCCCCCTCTGCCTTCTGTCTGCACTTTGGATGTCATCTCCCTAGGGCAAGAAGCATGTGTTCCCATATGGTGCTACTGCTTCCAGCACAACAGTGATCATCATAGCCTAGAGCTGACCACATGTATATCTATAATAACCAACAGCAGTAATAACACTGCAGGCTTCAAGGGAATGATTGGCCTCACCCCACACCATTTTTGAAGCAGATACATTACAATCTGTTGTAAACAGGCAGTGAATCCCTCTGCATATAGCTGTCCTCTCTACCTTCACATGTCCCCAGATGACACCTTTTCTCTAAATCACTATTGATTTTTCTCCTCACCTCAACTCAACAGTGAGTAGGCAAATAATTGTGGGGGAAAGAGAGATGGCAAAGAGGGCATGAGCCCTGGGTGCCAATTTGTTAGGTTTGCCAGAAGGACAGCCCCCAAGGAGTCCATGACACACAGCCCATATGCCATAAGGCTCTCCAGTGCTTGCCCCTGCAACCCCACGAGACTCCCTGGCACTCAGTGGTATCCCCTCCCAAACCTTCTCTCAGGTCTCTCTACTGAGAGTGCTAAAATTCCTCCCTATGCCTTTGAATGCGAGGCTTGTAGCAAGGCAGAAGGAATGCCAAATATACACCCCTTTACTGGAACCTCCACCAAAGGTTTTTTGTTGCTCTTGTTGCATTGATCTTGTGTGTGGTTTTGAAACCTCAGACAGCCCCTGCCTCTGCCTCTCCCATGAGCTGATCCAGGCCTGTGTAAAAACCCTTCGGACTGCAGAACCTGGAATGTTAAGGATGAAGCCTGCATTCCTGAGTGACACACCGATAAGTAGAAGCCAGAATGGAGCAGCAGAACAGGGAGATGGTACCAGGCTGGAAAGTCTCAGAGATGAATGTGTGTCATCCCCGCCCTTGGAAACAGTGCACAGCAAAGGATTTTTCAGTGATTGCAGGGATGAAAATATCCAGAAAAAGCTAGAGAGCAGCATTTAGAAGCAATAAAAGGAGAAGCAGGATTTGTTTGGTGATATCTTTGATTACTGCGAGAGATATTGGGCAAGCTTTGGGGCACAGAATACCTGCACGTTAAATAAGGAGCTTAAACAAAGCTAATTGTTCTACCTGGTATTTAGGTTAGGCTGGATCTACTTATTGCAGGAAGGGCATTTTGTCTGTAAGTTTTATAGGACAGTCGGTGCACTAAAAGATATGATACCTTAACAAATCTTCCCTGGACTATCATGCCTATCACAACACTAATGAAAAGAAAAATACTTGCAGGTCTGGTCTATCAGTGGCCACAAGTGAATTTGCTCTCCTACAAAGGATAAATACAAGCAAGAATGGGACTTTTTGAGCTACAGTTGAATCAGGTTTGGTCACTGTAGGTGCTGACAGACATGCAGGTCCCTGCTTTAACTCATGGTGCTTCACATAAAGTGCCATGAGTTAGAGTGATCCCCCCCACTATTCCCCACCTATCCAACAGATGTTTGCCTGTTGGGGGGAGGGGGGGAGGAGGGGGTGGCAGGGAAATTGAGCTCCACTTTGGAGTGGATCCAGTGAAGAAGCCTATCTGCAGCCTTTCTCCCCTAGCCGTGCCTCTGTTCCTCATAGCTCCGGTACTGTTTGCAAGGAGGGAGGAGAGAGAAGGGAGTGGGGAGGGACCTCTGGTCTGGGGTTTGCCTGACCTGAGCTGGAGCGGGCTAGGGGGGCACATGACAGGGGTCTCCAATTCACCTGCCCCTGCTCCAGCTCAGGCCAGGCAAACCCCAGCCCAAACCTCCTTACCCCTCCCTTCTCCCCCCCGCCCCCCTCCTTCCTGCAGACAGCACCAGGGTTAGGACTGGGCTATATCAGCCCAGCCCCAATCATACTGACAGATTGACCCTAGGGAACACAAGTTCCCTAAGGTACTCCACTTTGGAGTGCCTTCATCTGATCCCTCATTAGATGAGGGTTAATTTGTTGTGCAATCAGCAACTTTTAAAGC